AATTTAACACAAAATCTGAAAAAAAAAAAAAAGATTTGTGGTTTTATCTTATATAAAGTGATACGCAAAATCCTGCTAAAAAGTATCATTCTTTTTCATTCTTGTTATTTTTAATTTTCTTATCTTTGTAATAAGATAAAAAACGAAGAAAAATGTTACATGTACATAATAAATGTTCAAGTATTTCTTCACTATATTAAGATTTCAAAACCAAATTAGTTATTGAATTTGCTAAACAACTAACACCATTCTTAGGAGGAACATAGCATGGATTAGAGAAGGCAAAAGTTTTGTGTTTGTAGTTTTTCAATAAAAAAATAGAGAAGAGCCTGATTACTGCGCTTAAGTACTTAATTTTGTGGTATTTGCAATGAATGTTGAGATATATCTGTGTAGCTACTAAGCTAGATTGGAAATACTCGTGTTCCATTTTTTTTTCTTCTCTTTTACTTTCTTTTCTTTTTTTTCACCTTTTGTCCGTTATATGTTTATACGTATTAATAGAAAGAGTAGCAGCCGATTCAATCTTTCCAAGAAGGCTCCCGCTCTTACCGGCGCAGGGACTGGTGTCCGGTTTTACGTGAACTCACCAGCCGATGACACTGAAAAGTGACCATCACTTTTCAAGTTTCCATAAATATGAATCATTACACTCCATGTTGAGTATCAAGCAGGAGCCAAAGCATCTGCCATTTCCTGATCTGGTTGAATAATAACACATGTCATCTTTTACTTCGTACCCTTCTTTTATTGGACCCACTCGAACCCGATTGCATTTCTCACACTCAATAGATTGCATGTCATATTATAGAACCAATTGAAATGAACTCCGCCATTCCCGTTGAGTTCTGCATGTTATTTTCGCACTCAATAGATTGCATATCATATTAACAGTTCACTTCAATTGGTTCGGGCAATCAGTTTACATTATTCCTTTATTTGAGATCTTTATGGAAGTTTAAATTGATTGCATTTATATGTATGTGTGTGTGTGTGCATCTATGAAAAAAATTAGTTATATGTGTGAAGTCTGAGTGATCAATATTCATCCAGCTTATGGTATAGATGAATCTATTGATGTAAGTCTATTTTAGTAAAGACACTTGCTTATTCATACCTTCTGACTCGACGTGTTAATAAGTAGTATTTCTTTGATCATGTGAAGAATCGTCCTTTATTTTTCAGACAATTTCTGTAGCCTTTTAGTACACTGTAATTCAAGAAATAGATGAACATTTTCAAGTTCACTATGTTTAAGACTTGAAAATGAAGGGCTACATTGAGCTGAACAAGACCTGTGATTCTCATGCCCGATTAAATTTTAACATGTTAAATTTTCTTGCATCTTATCATTATGTTCTATTGAAAAAGTGGAAAATATGATGTTTTTGAACCCTTTTTTTCATTTTCCGTGCAGTATTCTGATTTGATAGAGCCAATTGAGCAAAGAATGAAAAACGTTGAAGATTACATTAAGGTACATGCCATTTTGGCTGATGCTTTCTGTATTTCTTTCTCTTTTTGTAGTAGTTCCAACTCACATGGTGTTATTCTCTTGATTCAGCTTTTGGTTTATTTCAATGTTTCTTACTATTTAACAATAGAGCTTTACCATTTTGTGAAGATGAGAAAGAGTCACGCATTACCATTTTCATTTTTACTGTTTCTTAATATATTAGGCTGGATGACTAATTTAGTCTTCTTTATTTAGGACTGCTGAACTTTCCATCTTGTAATGTCAATAGTCATGAAGATAACATTTAATTATGGTAAAAAACTATTTCCCATCCGAATTATCACGATTTTGGCACTGTACCATATAAACTTTTTTTTTGGTAAACCACCATATGAACTACACGTTTGTTTCACTTTGCCCTTCAAAACCGTACTTAACGTGGTTTTTGTAACAAAAAGCTGATTTACAAGGACATTTTGGGAATTATAAATTTTTAAAATATTGCAAAAGTACCCAAAGGACAAAATCAAAATTTATAAACCATTCAAATATAACAAATTAACCCCTCTTCTTTGTCAAATTCTCAACTACAAACCCATTTTTTTTTTTCATTTTTTTCCCAAAACAAATTAAGAAAACTTGTACCCCACCCAGAAAATCGCTGCCTGAAACCCGTCGGTGTCAACAAAGCCTCACCACCATTGCTAACCTTTGCCACCGCACCTCAACCCTAAAAAATCCCTCAAAAAGCCGACCAAAACCCTAGCCACCGCCTCAATACGAGCCTCCTCCAGCACAACCCAAAACCATACGCCGCTGCCGCCGCACCTCAGCCCCTAAAAAACCCATCAAGAGGCCGACAAAAACTCTAACCGTCGCCGCCGCACCTCAACCCTAAAAAACCCTCAGGATGCTGACCAAAATTTTAGCTGTCGTCTCAATCCGAGCCCTCATCCAGCACAACCCAAAACCCTAGCCGTCGTGCCCCAATCTGAACCCTTTTCCAGCGCATCTGCAAGCCGCAACACTTCGGTGAGAACCCACGCTTGTGGTCATCACCTCCGGCAAAGGCGGAAAGAACACCACCACCGCCAACGGCCTCTCCCTCGCGCGCCTCGGCTACTTTGTCGTCGCCATTGACGCAGACGTCCTCCGCAACCTCGATCTCCTCCTCGACCTCAACAACGGCGGCAAATTCGTTGGCCGGAACAATTGTGCTCCTGGTAAGTCCTGTCGGTCGTTGGATGGAACAATTGTGCTCGTGGTAAGTCCTGTCGGGCTCGAGCTCGCAGCCCGAAATCAGAGTCAAAATGGTTGAAGAGAAGTAGACGAAGATGGGGTGCAGAATTCTCGACATTTTGTTTTCTTCAATTTTTTTTTAATACTCAAAATTCCTAGAATACCCTAAAAAAACCAGTTTTAATGAGATGAAACCGGGCTTAAACCTGGTATAGTGAGCAATTTGACAATCTCACATAGTTCATATGGTGGTTTGCTAAAAAAAAAAGTTCATATGGTACAGCGCCAAAATCGTGATAGTTCGGGTGGTAAAAAGTTTTTTACCCTTTAATTATTTTCCTTGTTCTTCCACTGTAGTCAGTTAAGCTAGAGCTGGTTGTGCAAGCATAACCAATTGTGGATCCTTATGGTCCATCAATTATTGATAATAATTTGGAGGCTATTTTTGTAAGGTCGGTACAGTTCCTGAGAAATTACTTTAGTCATCTGATATTATTCCTTCGATTACTACTGAGAAATTACTTCAGTCATCTGATATTTTTCCTTCGATTACTATTTATAGGTACAATGCTTTTGGGATTAGCCTCTCCAATCACGTCTCTTTATACTACTTTTCATTCATACCTTGTCTTCTTTCATTCTGGCGATTATAATGTGATGCCAATATGTGAATTCTTTCAAGAGATATCCACAAGTACCCATGATGTTCAAGCTTCTAACTATAAATTTACATTACACAAGGTAAAACTTGGTTTGATTCAATTTAATTAAGGGGCTAACTGTAATATTCTATTATAAATATGAAGGGGGTTTCTGAAATATTTTGTTTGCTTATAAAATGGCTAAAAGGTAAGGTGGAAAAAATATCAGGGTACTTTTATAATTTTGGAAGTCACATTTGTTTCTTACTTTTAAAGTTAAACCTCAAAGGGTAATTCTTGTAGCCTTCTAAACTCCCATGGTGAGACAGATGTCTGTTTAATTAAATTCCCAGAAAGCTACAGAAGTCTCTTAAGACTTCTATAGAGGATCCATAGTATTACAAACAAGCTACCTATTCAAAATGATTCTATAAGATAATATTGCTAGGAGCAGATTATAACCCCAGGTAGTATTGATTACTTAAATATATAAAATAAGTTATGCCATAATAAGATACCTCTGGGTTTTGTATGTAGATTTATCAGTTCAAATCACCTAGAGGTGAATTATGTGCATTTACAAATCATATTTTGACGAGTAACATATTATAAGTGTTCAACTATTATGTGATATCTATAACTAGAGTTGTTTGTTTGATAGTAAGGAGACATTTGCTGGGGGGTTATCTGTTAATAAGAAGAGGGCCGAGAGAGGTCTCTCACAGCTAAAGGTATGACACGTCCAGTCTGCATGAAAGGTATTTTTCTTTTGGCACTTTATAAACCCTTTTCATTACCTTTTTTTTTTTTTTGATAAAAACTATGCAGATTGAAGTTGTTGATTTAGTACCTAAAGAATCTAGTGGAAACAAATTGAGTTCTACAGCTTTGAGGAAACTCGAATCCGAGAAATGCAAGACGCTTCAGGTTGAAGGTGAGCTTTGACAGCATTTGATCTGAATGGCACTGTAATAAATTCTTTTTCTTATTCGAATTGCTGATGGAAAGCAGTTTTTCCATCTGATTGTCATCCGAAACAATTGTATCTTGTATTAAATTGGTCATGTAAACAAGTAATAAATGTCCACAGAGTTTTCTTTCTTATTCATTGTCTGGTCCATTGGTTTCATTACCATTACACATTTTTGGCTTTTGTGGGTATCTTTAAAACTTGCTCCTCTTTTGTTCTCAAGTGAATTTCAAGTTCCTCAGAGTTCTAAAAATTGAAGGTATTTAATATCAGGTTATTTGCAAACTGATTTTGTCCAAATTTCGGAAGACAGAATCGGTAAAATACCGATTACCAAACATTATGATATGAGGCTAATGGTTTCTATTCTATTTAATATTTATGGATATAAATATATGTGTAATCTTTTTTAACTATATTTGTAAGCTTCTGATAAAGAAAAATCAACAAAATAGATGACTAAATTGTAAAATATAGCCTCATCTTTTAGACGTTGGCAATATTAGCACCATTTTTTCGATTTGGCAGTAGTAGCCAATAAGTTTTAAATTTTTGGCTTATTACCCAAATTCGACCAAACACAATTTCGGCAGATATCCAAACTCCGTTAATGTGGCCTACATAATCCATGTCATCACAACATCATATAAATATCGGATAAAATTGAAAATTGGTCTTATAAATTCGTCAAAAAGTCTATTTTTGCTCTATGGCATTCACTACTTTCAAACCTGGTCCTATAATCTGGCATATTCTCAATTATAGTCCATTTTTATTTGCACTCTAGATAAAAAAAGATGACATAGCCAGATTAGAGAAAGCGGAAAACGATAATTTATTCTCATTTATTAAAGCTAAATCGACAAAGTCAACTTCCAATTTAACAACATTAGCAGAAAACACACATTAGGGTCAACCAACGCCTCCACAGCCCGCTGCCACCGTCTGTCGTCGTCGGCCAGAATGTTTTTTACATCATCTTGAAGCTCTTCTCGTCCTCATTCACCTCCTAAAATCTCTGACGAAAATTCCACCAGTAAGGTCGATAATTGTTCCGGTCAAAGTTTTTAGATCTTGAAAATTTCGATCAAACCCAGTCTTCTTCTTCAAATTTTTGGCGATTCACATCACCCACCAAAATTTGAGGACACCTCCAGGATTCTCGTGTCACCGTGCACCCGACAACGTCCACCATCTCCGGAACCGATAAGTTTATTTCGACAACTTATTCTTTTCATACAATACAATCGCGCTCGCCGTCGCCGTGCACATTTTCCGCCGTCCCTTTTGCTCAATCCAATGCCAGCCACCTTAGCCCACTCAGTCGACCACCCTTAGCGCACTCGCCATCCGTCTAACTTCGGTGGGATTTTGTCAGATGACATGGTGGGGAAGATGGACGATAAGTCTCTGTTCACAACGTTTGGCATGGTAAAAGGGATCGGTTCCTAGTTGGTCCAAATGTTCAATATTTTCTCACTCCAGAGGCCATATGTCTTGTCTGTGAGCAACCTTGGGATACTTGGGTCGAGTTTTGTATTGGGAAGAAGAAATTAAGGAAGTTTTGATGAGGTTTCTTTAAACTCGCGGCATCGTTCGTAAACAAGGCCACTGCTCCAGCCACTGGAGGAGGGGGACGAGGGGGGCTGCCACTGCGGCTGTCGCAGGGGGCGGTGGGCAGATGGGTCGTCGGCGAGATAACTAGTAGCAGATGGTGGGAGAAATTAAAAATAAAGACTTTTGTTAATTTTTTACTTTTTGTTTTAAGGAGATGATTAGTTAGTTGGTTATATAAAAGGCTTATATTATTATTTGTATGTTTTTTTATTTGTTCTTTTTTTTTTTCTTTGCAATTTTATCTAGCTATATGTGTCCACTTGGCAGTGAGGGTCCACGTCAGGTCGGAAAATCGTAAATGGATCTAATTGGGCAACACGTCACACCACGTCACATTTTTTATCTAGAGTGCGGATAAAAATAAAAAAAAAAGTTGAGAAATATCTCAAATTATATGACCAAGTTTGAATGTGGTCAATACTAAGGATGAAAAAAGGGATTTTGGCAAACTTGTATGACCAATTTTGAATTTCTGCCTATAAGTACCTCTCCCACGCGTTTTGTTCTTTTTCTTCCACGAAAAAAAGAGGGGAAATTAAGGCATTCAAAAAGCCCTAAATTAAAAAACTTCATAATCTTCTTGTTCTGTAGAAGCTTGAAAAAATTCGACTTACGACACAAGCTTGAACGAGATATCTTACAACAAAGAGTATACATACTGCTATTATGGACTGAAAGAAATTGGTCCTTCGTGGATAACTTCCAATTGTTGAAGAAGATTCTTCTTGTGCCTCCACTAGAATGTATGTTGCATAGTTTTCAAGATATTTGGTTGAATAAATGCTTTCTATTTTTATTTTTTTTTTCTGGCTGGAATCATGGAGTAGGATGCAAGTATTTTTGGATGGGTCGAGCCTTCTCTTTGTGCCCATGCTCAACAAATAGTTCTAGATTTGCTCAAGAGATTGAATTGCTAGTGTTATATATTGAAAGCTTGACTTTAGATGATATTACACTTCTGTCCTTTATGAACAAGAATCATGTTCGATTAAACAAGTTCTATGTTTTGTTGTTTTCCACATGGATAAAATGATTCATTAGCGGGTGAACAGAAGATCATTTTATCAGTGACTTGCGAAACAAGAATTATTGGTTCACAATTTAGATGGAAATGAACATCCCATCAGAGCGGTTGCAGTGTCAACGGTGCAATTGGTCTTGACTGATTGGTTGCACTAGTACATTTATGTAATGAACGAATCCCAGAGATGAGATTGTTTTATATTGATCGTCGTAAATGAACTAAGCCTCGATTAAATGCATTATCTTAACCCTTAAGATATTAAACAGACACATACATGCAGTACTTATTACTTTGATTCACTTGGTTGAGGTTAAGTTCGCTGGATCAATAGTCTTATGTCTTGGGTAATATTGTTGTATGTAGGATGTGTTGTTAGGATATTTACGGTCATCATGTGTGTTAGTTTGATGATGTCCCCGAAGTGAGTTCATGAAGGATTGTTATGCTAAACCATGTAGGTGGATTATGTTCGGCATAATAAGAATTCAATTCGAGCGCTAGCTTTGGTAATATAATATATTAATTAATTTTTAATTATCAGTAATTGAATTAATTAATGAACGTTATATCTTAAACATGGGGAGGCAATTCGGGTAATTATTATTGGAGTCTCAAATGTAATTTGGGATAGAAAAGAGAGTGCAATAATATTACGTTAGTGGACCGTAATATTATTTAAGTAATTGGAAGAGTGAGTTTGACCCACAATTAGTTTATTACTTAAGAAGCCTATTCCTATCCTCCTATAGATCCCTATTGTAGCTTTATATACATCATTAAACTCATGAAAAAGAGAAGAAGAGATCAGAATTCTCCTACGTGTGATATATTATACACAAATGTCCTTAGTCTCTCTCTCTCTCTCTCTCTCTCTCTCTCAGTTTTCTATTTGAGTTTTATCTTCTTCTTGTTGATCCACCGGTACAAGTTGAAGAGGTGTAAGGGTAATACAGTAGAAGATTTCGAGGTAACCGAGATGAATATATTCATCAACCTCGGAGATCTATCGGAGCCGACAAACCACGACCAGAAGGTTGTGATCCGCAGACCCCTGCACGCTGGACGAACCGCCGCGAGGAGCTGACCCTCTGCCTGCACATAACAAACTACTCCAAAGCTATTACTAGAAACAGGTTATTAAAGGATTCAGCCCCAAAAGGCATAAATACAAAATAGAGGAATTTGCACGCCAAACGTTCATGGTAAAAAATATTACATAATTACCTCTACTATATAATTATTTATAAATTAACAAATTTGTTAAATTTATTTGCATATATACCTATAAAGTTGATTTGCTATTTATATGGTAACTTTTTCCCCCTCTCTCTTTCTTCTTCACACGGCAGTCTCTCCCTCTTCAGTACAGAAAACCCTCCATCGTCTGCCTTCACAAGCTCAATATTTGTTCCGACTGGTTCAGTCGACTCTTCCGATCCCCCTTCACACAAGTCCGCCGCCTCCTCCAATCCCCCTTCTGCCACCGCATCCACCTCCGCCTTGCGGGGGAGAACATCCACGACGAGGCCCGTCGCCAAGCCTCGTCCCACGACTTCTCCGCCAAGTACGTCCCCTTCAACGCCGACCCATCCTCCACCGAGTCCTACCCCCTCGACGAGATCGTCTATCGAGCCATCCCCGCGGTCGTCATCTCCAAGTAGGCGATCCGAGAATCGTTCTCCATGGAGTCGATGAGAGAGAAGAGGAATATCATTTTAATCGATCTGTCAACTTTTTTTTTGTGGTATATTTGTGTAACTTTTCTTAAAAAAAAAGATTGATCGCGCCTCTATCGTTTGTGGCGCGTTGTGGTATATGTACAGTATATGATCACTATATGTTGAATATATACCTTGAAAGATGGATCGTGTTGTGGTATATGTACAATATAGATCAATATATGTACAATATATGTTAAATATATACCTTGGAAGATCGATCGCATCTCTATCGTTTGTGTTGTGTTATGGTATATATACAGTATATGTACAGTATATGTGAAATATATATTCGACTGTTTTTTTTTCTTGAGGGTATATGTTGCGTGAAGTGTTATTGCTGAAAAATCGATCGACCACCCTTTTTTTTTTCTTTTTTTTTGTAGTATATGTTTGTGAATT